TGGGATTATAGAAAGAGTGGCGCAGACTTTGGAAATAGTTACTTACCAAGGTTACTGATTAGTTATATGACGATTCAACATGCACACAATTTGCAAAGCCTATCTGCATTAATGGGAAGACAAATAAAATCTCCATTAACAAATGACGCACTGAATATGCGTATAAAAAAGACAAAGTAGAAAGTCCCGAGAAAATTAATTTCATCATACAAAGGGAACATAGCACAGTCATTATATCAAATAAAGGAAAATACCTTATGGCTCATTCTGACCAATTAAGACCCAGAATTGAAGCAGAAGATGTTGTGATGGAAGGAGATCTTGACACAGAAGAATGGATGAGTTCTTCAGATCAGGAGAATGTAATAGAAAATGAGCCTATGAATGATAGCGGAATTGACTCAAACACGGATGAAGAAGAAAAGAGACCAAGATCTCCATTAAAAGGAAAAGGACATAAACCACAAGGTGGGAGAGGAAGGAAGAGGTTGGAGAAGTTCAAGAATATTGAAAGACATTAAACCTCTTCGGTTCAGAGAGGTGTAGTTGGACTGGCAAACAGGATTTTACCTATTTATATATGTTGATCATACAGGGTGCCTCACAAAAAAAAAACAGGAAATTTGGTGCAGCTATTAGCAGGCCGTGTTAAATAACGAAGTGAGTGACAAGTACAATATAATAGGATATTAAATAAAAACTACTTCTCTTCATTGTCTTATTCAGTACACACACACACACACACACACACACACACACACACACATATATATATATATATATATATAATGTATATTTTAATGTAGAGAATTTTCTCAGCTCACATGCATTAGTTTTGCGTTGTTTTGGTTTGGGTGATTTTGTTTAGCGGCATATCAACAGCTGTATAGGTTAACATCTCAATATTTATGAAGTGAAATATTGTAAGTATTTACATCGTTCTATTTGTTGCTATTTAGTAACTTAAAATGCAAATGTTAAAGTTCAAAGTAAAAAAGTTAATTTTTTTATGTTTGTTAATTTATTTTTTCATTATGTAGTAATACTAAAATTTCCTAGATTTTGTTTTTGTGGGGGTTTTTTGTAGGTCATCCTGAAGAATAAATAGAGTGTAGGATAAAGAGTCAGACGACAGGAAGTTGACTACTGATCATGTGCCGTAAAAAATTACTATACAACACTTTGATTGATATCTTTGTAATAAATCTATTTTTATCTCCAATGACAATCTTTTCTAGAAATGACTTTTGTCTGAACCCCAAAGAGAAAAAGAAACTTATTGACGTTGACCGCAGTTGCTTTGAAGATGTGCGGGTGATGTAATTGTTAGCGAAATCGGCGAGTCAGTCTCTAGGAGGGTGACTCATTGCACCTTTTCGGGCTGACATTTGCCGCTGATATGACGTGGAAATATTATAATGAATCAATTGCTAGATCTGATGCGAGGAAAGGTAATTAAACTGTGTCGTACTAGACATTTTTTTCTCAACAGAATCTATCTTAGACATTTATTAAGCTGTAAGTCATCCATGCATTGAATATTTCTGTCACACCTGAACTGGTGCTTCTGCTGTGGATTTAGAGCTTCTTGATAAAATACAAAGAATCTGCAATGTTATTGGTCCTGATCTGTCATCTCGGCTACAGTCACCTTCACAGAACCGTAACGTAGCCTCCCGTACTAGTCACCATTTAGAGCAATCACCATTGTAAAATAAAAAATGCAATAAAATTAAAACATTATTTAATTAGAAAAGTATTGATTTTATGAATGAAATATAAAACAGACACTATTGTCTTAAGAAAATATTCTATGAATAATTAATTTTTACAGAAATTGTTTTCATTTGATTTTTAATTTTAATAATTTATAAACTTTTAAATCTGTTAAAATTCTGTATTAATTTGAAGTGGCTAAGTGTGATATTGTTATTATATTAAGACTGTAGTTACCAAACATAAATAGAAAATCTCACTACAATTCAACAACTCCAATATTTTAAAAATAATTTCAACTTACTTTTATGTTGGTCTAAACGTGTTGATTATTGTAAATACAGATGTCCCTGCACATACATAGCAAAAAGACAAAAATCTTAGAGTCTTAGCTGATCCTCAAGACGCTGATATATCCAAAGATGGACACAAGACTTTTGTAGAACATGATTTTTCTTTTAATAATTTCACCCCAAGCCAGACGATAATGTCAAGGGTTACATTTTTTCCAGTAGTATTCACTCTGCACAAGGCCCGAGGGCCACTCGTGATAAAGGGTTACAGAGTAACAGGCACAGCTTATGAGGATATGTGCAGACGATAACGGTTAACTCTAGACTTGAACAGGTTAGGATTATAGTTATCCGGGTAGGAGCCTCTTGGGAGTCGGTTCAACAAGGCAGCGGTTCGCCGGAAGAAGCTGTTTCATGTAGAACTTACATCTCACCATGGGGGATATGAAGAGAATGGCAGGTCATAGTCATAAAAGTTAGGATTGGTGGAACTAAGGAGTGTAGTTCATCTGAACATTCACCATAGGAATCGCGATAGAGCAGTGAGGGGCTTGCGATGGCTCGTCTGTGAGAAAGAGGATGTAGGAAAATAATTTGCCACCCACAAGGACACAGACGACGCTTTTGGACCATATCGAGAGTGAAAAATGCAGTATCTCATTTTCGTCCTGATCTGACTCTTTAGGAGCTACTTTCTGGAACAGTTCTGAGAACCGACCATTTCCCCATCATCTTTAGCGATGGATCGTATCTATGAGTTCCACTTGAGGTCTGGCTTGAGTTTAAGTCCTGGGAGTGAAAGAGAACGAGAAGACATTAGGAAGGACAATAAAAGACCAGAGTTCAGGAAGACAGAAGATGAGGATTGGCGTTGCATTTAAATTGTTGAAGATCACAAGTCACAGGTAAGTAAGAAGTCGGAAGAGAGTTCCATAGGTGGGAAGTGCGAGAAAAGAAACTATTAGGATAGAACTTACGGCTGCATCTAGCTATTTCAACTAAAAGGATGAGACCTAATTGCTAATATAGTATGTTTAAATTCATGCGGTTTGGGTACCAAGGAGAAAAGCCCATTAGAACAACTGCTATGGAAATATCTATAGAAAAGACAGAGGGAAGCCACGTCATAGCAGTATGAAAGTTGTTGAAATACGAAAATTGAAACACTTCCCTAAATTATACAAACTTAGTTAAAATTTTATTTGAATACGCGAGATTACGTTGAAAGTGTATATGTTTAGGCAGGGCCGGTGCATATTAACCCCAACCTACCAACCGGGAATCAAGCCTGATTGGGAGCCCCCGCCAGTGCTTTGTGACCCTCGCTATCTTATCAACATTTGCTTTTATTCTATCTACATTTATATACATTACAAAATTAAAGAAGCACAACTATTAAAGGACGAACAATTTTCGTGGATTGAGTGACATAGGCATAATGGATTTGGGGCACTTCGACGTGGTTAACAAGCTTATATCACTAGAACAATTACGGCTGAATATTGAGTTCGAATCTCACTAGGTGTCTCATACTTTCGGCCTTGTGCCACATCCAAGCTATGCTTAGAAAATCATTTGGGCCTTCGTCCTCCGGATTCTTCCGGAAGGATTGGGAGAGGAAGAGAAGAGAGTTTTCCCGTCGGAGTAGATGCTGCGGTTGTAGTAACTGTTCCGTGCCGGGGGCCTTCTATCCTCCCTTGCGTTGTGCCCTCCTCCTGTCCCCGTTGCGTAGCGGTTCTTTTAGAAAAAAAATCTCAAGTCGATGTTAAAATTTGCCGCAAACATTTTTGGTTTATTTAAGATGGAATGATTTATGATGACATCTGGAATTTTTACTTAGATGCATTGTACTGGGTGAGGCAGAGAGGACGGGTTTTTTTAAAAAAATTCACAACATCATTAATTTTAGCGTCAAAACTTTTACTGACATCAATGTGTTCGTACTGAAGTAGTATTTGAGAAAATCAAGTATGAAAAACAATGTCCCGCATGTGGTTTCCGTTTTCAATGATGCATTTCTGAAAGCGTTCTTTGAATCTGACCTTCACTCTTTCCAGCATTGCTCTGATTTGGGCGATATCCACGCGAATAGCCTTCTTCAAATCGTCCAATGTACAGGGTTTATGCTTTGAGGTTTCACCACAAGAAATCACGCATGGACAAATCAGAGGAGCGAGAAGGCCAAGGAGTGTCAGCAAACCTGGAAATGAGGCGGTCACCAAAGAGTGGTCGAAGAACAGTCATTGACAGTCTGGCTTTGTCGGCCATCACCTCCACCCTGCTAAAACCCCACACACCGGATAGGAATACTTTTTCGTTATAATTCAAGCACAAAGAAGTTGTTTATCATGATGTAATTGTATTCAATTTTTCTACTTGAATTGTTCACCTATATTGGATATGATTCATTATTTACATGATTAGGTTACAATAAAATGTGTATTTTATATGAATACTGTTTTATGAAAATTGAAATGTAGTAGAGTGGAAGGTTTACGAATCATAGATTCGGGGGTGGGCACGAGACCCTTGCAGCTGCCCTGCGTGTATATATCAGTAGTAGTTGAAACAAAATTATCAGTAACATATGTAACGGTGTAATAGGTACTTTCGACAGAGGATAATATGAATTATATAGTTACGAAAGTCTACTGAGCCTCAAGTTTACCCTACAACATAATCCATTCCTAAAGATTCATCTCTATAGATTTATTTTTTTATTTATTTTTTCTATTTATTTTTTACGGTTTATCAATCCTTTGCATGTTAATTAAAACCAAAAAATATTTTTATATAGTAAAATTTTTTTTTGAAATAATAATGGTTTAGTGATACAAGTCTTACTAATTGACCCATAGTTGGAGAAGGAGAGGTGGATTCATGCCTTTACCAAGGGTGGTAAATAACGAACCCAAGTGGAAATGGAACTCGTCTCACCGATTAACAATTCCGAGCCATTATCTATTACACCACCCGCACATCTAAGCTTATAGCAGTTGGTATTCGCAAGTGGTCATTCATCTACGTACTGTCCCGGCCCGACGTTGCTTAACTACAGTGATCGTACGGGAAACTGTGCTTCAACGTAATATAGCTTTAATCCATTTCTACCACCTGCACAACCAAGCTTATAGCATATTGTATTCGAAAGCCTTCACCCAAGATAGGTACTGACCAGGCTTAACGTTGCTTAATTTCGTTCATCGTACAAGAAACGGTGTTTCAATGTGATATGGCTGTGAGCTCTAAAGATTCATAAGAAAATACTATACCGATCCAGTAAGTACCTGACTTCTTCAGTTATGCTCTGTCTCAGGAGCCAGATCAGACCAAAAATGGATTATTGCTGCCATATCTGGGCTGGACGTGCACAATCCTCACTTGACTGTCGATAGAGTTTAAAAGAGTCTACACGGCGTTGTAGGTGGTTGATTACTTTACACTCCACAACCCCTTTTTCCACAGATGAAACTACGCGAGCCTCTCAATATTCTATGCCCCCCCCCCTGGAAAACTTACTGTCATCAACTTTATTGTTGCTATCACAACGTTTCGACCGTTAGGACCTTCTTCATGTCTCTGAAAGTTACCAGAATGGACAGACACCTGAATAAGGCCTTGGGGCACAACGGCTGAAACAAAGATGAGGACAATAGTCCAAATGTAAATAATATAAATAATTTATTAAACGTTTTTAATTATTTCACTTCAGGCAAGACAATAAAACCATTAAGGCACAAGGGGAATTTCTGAGTGTGAAAAAATATGAGGAAAATAAAAAAAAATATTAAGGAGAATGAAGAAGAAAAGAACAGGAATTAAGAAAACAGAAGATAACGATTGTTATTGCATGTAAATTTTTGAAGATCAAAGTTAACTGGAAAGCAAAAAACCGGAAGAGATTCCCACAAGCGAGAAGAGAGAGAGAGAGAGAAAATTTAGCATATGTTAGCATATAACTTACAATTGTATCTAGCCAATATCAAATTAAAATAATTTAAATAATAATTACATTATAAAAGAATCAGCAACAAAATTTACTCACTTTCGTTTATTAGAAATTAAATTATAGCACTTAGCATCCTTCATAATTTATCTTGATTTTCAGCTGACCTGATGTATATTTATGAGCGTTCTTTAATTTAAAAATTCTGAGAAACTAACGATTTTTTACGAGAAGTGCGAGATAAAAAAAAAAAACTCCGTTAACCTGGAACTTACTGTTACATCTGGACATTTTAACTGTAAAATGATGAGACTTTGACGCAAATCTAGTACTGCGTTTAAATTCATAAAATCTAAATACCAAATTGCAAAGATCATTAGAACAATCACCATGAAAATATTTTTTAGAAAAGGCACAGGGGAACAGCTTCCTTACGGTGGTGGAAAAATGACCAAAAGAGACCGAAAGTGAGTCAGTATCAATAACATTGCATAAACTTATATAAAAATTCCCAACTGAGCATTTATTTGAACAGGTTAGCATGTTTTATGAGTTGAAAAATTACTACCGACAAGCCTATTCTAGAAGGAACTTAGATTTAATACCAAAGAACGAGTCTAAATTTTTAAAAAAATAATGCCTTAAAAAGGTCAGGTTCACCTTTTGGATTGTTCAAGTCATCATCACTGTCGTAAATCAAAAAAGTCTTGTTTCCGATGGCATTCAGAAGCGACCTAATGTCATAATTCTAGGCAGAATCAGTTTCTATACTTGGAAAAGAAAATCGATAATGATCAGCTTTTGTCTTTATCAGAATCGAGGCTGATGTGGAGATTGAAAACGATGGCAAATACGAAAACAATTTACGATGCATTTCGGTTATTTAATTTACATTGATTGACTTTCGTTTTCAACTCATCATCATCGCATTTTTTTTAATTTGTCATTTCACGTCGTTAATACATTGAGAATATCCCCAAGCCATATTTCTTGATTTGGGAAATATTCCAAAATCTTCCATCGATGCTGGTAACAAAGATAATGTTAACTTTTTAAATGTGCCTGACAGCATATAAAAATTTCGGTGCTCTGTGATCTACGTGCATAATTCTTATTAAATATGTTTTTTTTTTATAATCGAGTTCACCCCAAGCAAGGTAATAAAGCCACTAAGACAAAAGGAGGTTACTGTGCGTTGAAGAATTAGAAAACAGAAACATTACTAAGGAGCGAGAACAAAAAAAGAGTAATCAGGACAGCAGATAGCGATTGACATTGAATTTAAATTTTTGCAGATTAAAGTTGACTGGAAAACATGGAGCCAGAAGAGAGTTCTACAAGCGAGAAGTGCGAGAAAAGAAATTGTTAGCACAGAACTTACGGTTACATCTATCCGATTCGAATGTAGATTGATGAGATCTCTACGTCAGTTTAATAATGCGCTTAAATTCATAAACTCTAGGTATCATAGCGAAAATCCCATCCGGAAAGTTGGCATGAAATATTTATAGAAAATGCACAGGAAGGCAACTCTACTGCGGTGAGAAAATGACTGAAAACGAGATGCCAGATCCAGTATCAATAATATTGCTGATTTTTCTTTCGACTTCATCAAGGATCGCTAGATAGACAGGAGACCACCAGAACATATGTGGTAGGAATATTCAAAGCCTGGACGAATAGTAGACTTATAGATATGTAAGATAGATTCTGGAGAGAAAAATGAATTTTTGTTACAGTTATTTGAATCAAAAGATAAGGATAGAAATTTCGTAGCTTAAAACAGAACAAAAACACAAGTATTAGATGTGGTGTTCAAACTCTGGCAAAATTTCGTGGCATTTTTTCAGTTCCCAAGTTGGATTTCTTAAAGAGAACTATCACCTAGCGTTGAAAATGTGATAACTGTGGCATCCTGATTAAAAAATTTATATGTTAGTTAATCTTTTTATTTCATTCATATAGTAAAATATATTTTTTTCATCATATAGTAAATCTAAAATTTCCTGTTTTTTGTGGTCACCATGTATAAATAGGTATTGTTGGTAATTTTAATCTAAATGTATATTATTGGTTGGTTGATTTTAGTTAGAGGCGTATCAATCAATGCCAAAATCTAAATATTTTGAACACAATTTTATAGCTTTAACTAAATATATTTTGAACACAATTTTATAGCTTCAACTAAATATATTTTGAACGCAATTATATGCCTACAGATAAAATATATCGTTAGTCATTTTGCTATAAATATATATTGTTGGTAATTTTTTTATAAAAATATATTGCTAGTATTTTTACTATAAACAAGGTATTTTTATACTTTCACGGTGTTTTGTTTTTGTTTGGGAGTTCACTATTTGTCCATAGCGGGGGACCAGGATAAGGTTGACCTGGGAACAAGAGCAGTTAAAGTGTGGTTCCACGCTGCACAAAATGTCCAATCTCCCAATCAGAGTCCTTGCTGCCTGATTGCATATGATCCATTATTTGTAGATAATTAAGTTTCAATAAAATACGTATTTTATATGAATAGGTAGTAGAATAGGGGGTGCTTATCATAGATTGGGAGGTATGCACGAGATACTTAAACCGGCCCTGTTTTAAGTGTATGCAAGAAGTAAACGTTGGAGTAAAGGATACAGAATTCGATTTGAAATCTCGTTAAAAACTTATTCTTCATTATCCGATGTCTATTGCTTCCTTAACGATCGTCAAGTGTAAAAACGTATCGAACGTTGCGATCTTGTATTCGTATTTGTTGCGGCATTGACCGAGATCGCAATTTGCCGCACCTCGAACAGAATCAAACCAAGCTCGGTAGTCGGAATGCAACCGAGCCAGTAAGAGCTAATCAATCTCGATTAAAATGGTGAGAGTCTCGAACACGCGCGGTTCGACCTCTTATTTAACCGCCCTAAGCCATTTTGGATATTAAAAAAAAAGAAACATTTTTAAATGGAAGAAATGATACGATAAATATATGAGGGCCTGTAAGAAAATATCCCAAATGAAATTTTAGTGTTAAATGTCAAGATAAGGGAACATTTAGATTAGTTTTAATGCTCCAATGTTCACTGTTGCATTTAAACCCGGCAGCCTTTGCGTCTGCTTACAGAGGGAAGGCTGCTTAATATAAATCGTCTAAAGAATTCCAAAAAATAATAATAATAATAATAATAATAACTCTGTTGGTTAGATCGGTGGTGAAAGATGGGGGACATAAATTGGATTATTTATAAAGTATTCGACAATCGCAGAACCGGATGTATTCAAAAGCTTATGCAAATTTTCAAAATACCCTCTCGAGATTTTTGATGGTAGATGCTGATCAATCCTAGTTTTTACTGTCAGATTTTTTTACTACACTTTTTTATTATTGATATCCGATGTCTACTGCTTGCTTAACTTCGAAAATAAAAATAAAAATATATCAAGAACAAGTGTAAAACGTGGCGAATGTTGTGTACTTCTTGTACTTGTTACGAAATTCACCTGGGATCGGTTGAGCCGGCTCCGTCAAACGAATTTGCCACATCCTGGACGAATTTAGCCTTGTAAATTCAAAGTAGGAGTCTCAGTGGGAATTTAGGATTCAACCGAATGTATACACACTGCGATCCGAGCAGTGATTTTCTAAGCGTAGCTTAGATTTGGACCAAAGCCGAAATTATGGGGCATACTTCATGAGATCGCTAAAAATAGAGCATAGCATGATGAAAAAGACGCCAAACTTGACGAAATCAAAATGTTAGCGTCTAAATGTTTATGCTATTATTGAGAGGAAAGATCAAAGTATTTTTTAATTATTTTAAAAAATTTTTCCTTCTTTTTAGAACATTCTAAATTTTGATCAAAAAAACTTTGTTTCTCTTTTGTGTCACCGGAACTAGTAAAATAACATAAAATTTTAGGGCATTTTTTCTGTATGACAGACATTAATTTTGAAAATCTTGCAAAAATAAAAATAATTGTCGGATTTTAATGAAACTATTCACAAAATGATGGATTATATTAGAGATATGTTTTTCTTTTTTTAAAGTCATTGCAATATTTTTTCATATGTATTGCCCCCACCCCACTAACTAATTGTACGAAAACTCTATAATTTCAATTTTGGGAAGATTAGTGATTATATTA